GCTTTTTGTAATAACGTGATATTATGTTGTTCAAATGTGAAAAGTATATTGTTAGAACAAGTTTTCATGTTATAATGTGATATACCTCTATTTTTCTTTTGCTTGGGTGGCAGCTCTATGCTTCTGTAACTTGATCCAACAAAACTGAAGAACAACATTTTAGCCCTTTTAGGTTATTTATAAAGAAAGTCTGCCATATATCCATATATGTTCCCGACTTTCCAGTAATCAGACTACACACGATACATTAATAGAAGGACATTTTATTTTTATAAAACATTCTTACATAATGACCAACAACTTTTTTATGTTCACTCTGAATTTCCATATGGGAACTATGGTACTGCACATGTATAGTATCCACCAATAAAATCAGAGTAAAAACTGTTCATAAGTCAATAAAAGTCAATAAAACATTTCCTACCCCTTAAATAATTGTATCAAACTCTATATAAACACAGCGCTCAAATAAATGCTTACAAAGACACATTAGAAAATAATGTAATAACATCATATAAGTTTTTTAAACCCTCAATATCAGTAATTATTATGTGCATGTATTTTGATATTTACCAGTTTTATATCTAAATGTATGTTATCTTATTCTTTGCAAAGTACATTTTTCAAAGCTATTTTCCTTCCTACTTAACCCTTGTATGGTGTTCGGGTCTGTGAGACCCATGCCATTTAGAGGCTGCTGCCCCTTTAGGTAGTATATACCATCAAAACCTGCAAAATATGGTATAAAGATATTTACACTTGATTATAACTGATTTTATTTTTTTTATAACATTTTATTTTAAAAAAAAAATGAGAAGCACATTAATTCATAAATGTGATGAACAAAAGTAAAGGGGAAAATGAACCATGTTTGCTGTTCACATGGCTCGTAACTGGGATGAAGTAAACATCTGAGTAATGTTAATTTCGGTTCTTTTGGATTCTTCAGGGCCAAGAAAGACACAAGGCTCAAAGTGGTGAAACTCAAAAAATATTATCTTTATTTACATATTCCGGAATATGGAGACCTGAGCACACAGCCCCAGGTCTGAAGCACAAACGGAAGCCTAGTTATTTCTATACTTGCTCTCACGTCACACCACACTTTAAGTTTCGATCAAACAGCCTAGTTGGTTTCACTTTCACTTCATTCTAGCTGCGAAAGCATGCAGTTACCTGTCAGCCTGCAACCTAGTTTTAAACTGAAGTCTGGGTCTCTCTTATATAAACCAATAATAATCAGCATATAAGCATTTAAGATTATATATTTATTACCTAACAGAAATTTAACATAAAATTGTTTGATAGTGTTAATTGGAAAGCCAAGACTCTAGCGGGTCCACCAGACCCATGAACATTGGCTGAGTAACAAAAATATGAACACCACACAAGGGTTAGATGAATACGACTTGCAAAGAACAGATCAGGAATTATTATTACAATTATGTTTTTAACCCTGCCATAAAATGTTTGTGGCTCATATAATACAAATCATACAATTAATATTTCAAATACATCATCTGTAGACTGTTCAGTATTTCCAGGTTTGCAGTGGAAATCATTAACAGACAATAATTTGGTGAATTACTTTTACTTTCAAACGGAGAAGATTAATGTCCTTTTATGAGAGCACCACCTGCTGGGCACAATAGTAAAAACACTCATAGTGTAAAAATATGGCTCTAATAATAAACACAGATGTTGGTGTCTTGCTGACACTGCTGCCTTTCCAGAGTCTAAAAATGACAGGTTTCAGCAGTCTTCTTCTTCATTGCAGCAATTTTGCATTTTGCTGCTTTGTTAAGTAAAACAACAAAAGTGGTGCTCTCTCTATCACTCGC